TTTCAACCATTCGCCAAACTGGCCTCGGAGTTCCTGCATCGGGAGGTGACAGTGCTGGATCTCCTGCGCCGGGGCTCCGTTTGGCTCCTCAGGGTAGAGTTTGTGATGGACTATCCCCGGCCTTTGATGCCCAACATCATTCCCATTGGAGGGGTGCACTGTGCTCACAAGAAGCTGACTCAGGTGGGTCTGGTTTAGTTCGTGCTGAGGTTGATTTGTGTGTGCTGAGGGTGAAGTTTTGTGCTGCAGGGAGGAATCGAGTCCCTGTTTTGGGTGAGTTCGGTGAACACTCATGAAAGAAATTTCTCTCCCACTTTCTCCCTCATTTTCCACTTGTAGGCCTTTGTACCTTCTCATTTACAAACATGCAGAGACAATGCCTTTTTTACTATGCATATTCAAAGCCAATTTGTGTAACACTGTGTAACTTGTTCCTCCCTTAGTGAGGGACAAGCCAGAGGCAAATCCCTGGGTCTGTTGGAGCCTTGCAGTCAGGTGTAATCCCTACAGCTCAGCCAACGTTTGTGGTAGGGGCTGGTATTTACTGAGAAATGCACATCAGCCTTCTGCCCTTGTTGCCTCACCGTATCTTCCTTTGTCAGTGAATTTGCTCCTTCGCACGGGTATTCCCAAAGCTGGAATCTTGAGGAATGGGGCAGGCTGTGGGCTCTCAGGTTAAGCAGCACTGTCTGTGTTTGCAGGGCAGGTCTCCCAGTGGTTTGCCTTGACCATGGCACTGTGAGATTGGAGAATAAATTCAGTGAGCCTCGAGGGGCTGCGTTGGCTAGGCAGGTCCTGCTCAAAGGTGACAAAGCTTTTATCACAGGAGCACGTGAGGCTTATCTGGAGCACCCACTACATCTATCAGATTGCTGAACTCTGCTGCTGGTTCTGCAGCCCTTTATCACCAGCGATTACAGATTTACCACAGGGCAAACAGCCGAGGGTTCAAAAGTCGGGCTGAGGCACAGATTGCTCGGGAGTGCGGAGCGGGCGCCGGCGCTGCCCGTGGTTCCTTCCTTGGAGGTTCTCGGCAGGTTTCTGCAGGAATGGCCCCGGGGCTCGGTGCTCCCCTTCCCTTCACAGTGGGAGTGGTGGTGCTGCTGTCCCTGCTGGGTTTGGCCGCGGGTGGGAAGGTGCTGGTGGTGCCGGTGGACGGGAGCCACTGGCTCAGCATGCTGGAGGTGCTGGACGGTCTCCGGCAGAGGGGACACGAAGTGGTCGTGGTGGCTCCTGAAGTCAGTTTGCACATCAAGCCCTCCAAGAACTTTGTGATGAAAATGTACCCAGTGCCTTTCACACAGGAAGAGATGGATGAAAACGTACGAGGATTTACGAGGGACTTGTTTGAAGAGGGATCTTTTCTGGAGAGATTCATTAGGTTTTATCAGCGGTCGAAGGAATCCTCTGCTCTGTTCCTGGCCGCCTGCACACATCTACTCTACAACAAGGAGCTCATGAGGTACCTTGAGGACAGCAAGTTCGATGCCATCCTCACAGACCCCTTTCTGCCCTGTGGGCAGATCGTGGCAGAGCATCTCTCGGTCCCTTCCTTGTTTTTCTTGCAGCAAATGCCCTGTGGTTTGGAACATCAAGCCACCCAGTGCCCCAACCCCCCTTCCTACGTGCCCAGGGCCTTTACATACCTCACAGACCACATGACCTTCCTCCAGCGGGTCAGGAACGTGCTCTACGACCTCCCCAATTTTTTTCTCTGCGACGTTGTCTTCCAACCGTACGGCAAACTGGCCTCGGAATTCCTGCACCGGGATGTGAGTGTGCCGGACCTCCTCCGCCAGGCTGCCATCTGGCTCATGAAGATAGACTTTGTCTTGCACTTCCCAAAGCCCTTGATGCCCAACATGGTTTTGGTTAGTGGAGTGAACTGTGCTGCCAAGAGGCTCAGTCAGGTGGGTCGCGCTGCGGTTTTCCCTGGCGGGGTTGGAGCGGCTCCGAGGAGCTGCAGCGTGGGGTGTGTTCCAGTCCTCCCTCTGGGGGTGAGGATTTCAGGCTGCTTTTGTTCTGCTGTCAGTGGAGGCATCGCAGGGTAGAGGTGGAGGGGGTGCTGTCCATGGAATTAGCCCTGGGAGGGGCTGTGCCTCTGCTCTGGTACTGGAGGGGTTGCCCAGCACCTCCCCCCTCAGGGCTCTTGACCTGTGGCAGGACACGCTGCTTGGTTTGAGGAGACCTTTGCTCATCCTCTGATCCAGTTTGGCTGATCTCCTCTGCATTCCTGTCTTTTTTTTGTTCTTTAAGGAAAGATTCTCTGCGCTTTGAATTGTCAGAGACTCACAAAAAAAAAAACCAACCAACTCCCTCTGCTTTGGAAGGTCAGTTGAGGCCCCTCAGGGAACCTCCTGGGAGTGTCCAGTTGGGTCAGGCTGGCCCTTCCTCTGCCTTGCTGAGCTTTGAGTGCCCCTTACGACCCTTACACCAAACCCACTTCATCAGATCAATGAATTACCGTGTCCAGGGCAGATTTTCCATGTTGCAGCTTTGCAACTCTTCCCGCTTGAGTTTTTCAGATTTTGGCTTTGCCAAGTGGGTGAGATAAGGCTTATTTTTATTTTTATTTTATTTTTTTTTTTTAAGAAAAGCTGAATCTCACACAGTAAAAAATGAAGCATTTTTAAAGAGGATTCACATTTGGTACTCCAGTCTAGAAAAGATGGAGATGGAATAATGTGTCCAGCTAAACCTTCCATAAAATGTGGAAAAGCTCAAGGTGGAAGGGGGACTGACAGGGAGTTTCTCCCAGTACTTGGCCTGTGGCTAACACTGAAGTGCAAACAGGAGTATTCTTCCTCACCATGCACTAAAAAAAGGCCAAGTCAGCCCCTCAGAATGATCTGGTTTTCGTAGACAAAGCCTATGAATTTAAAAAGGATTTGGGTGGTTATGAGAGGTACAGGCTGACTGCCAGGATTTACAGACTTACAAGAGGGATAATCACGGATTCCCCTCACTGGGGTATTTGTTGGACCGTTCCCAGCCTTGGCACTCAACCCTGCCCTTTGGCTTTACTTTCCCCTCTATCTCCTTCCACCCTTGCCTTTGGAACGGGCTGGACTCGTGGACTTCATACTTGCAAACACATGAAAGGCTGTTCCTGTGTTGCTCAAAATCCGGTGTCACAACTTCCATGAACTCTCTTTGAACTTTTATGAACTTTCCTAAGACTTTTATGACCCTTTTTATTGAAACTTTTCTGAGCCTCAAGGGTTTGGGTTGGGTTTGGGTTTTTTTTTTCACCTCTTCCAGGGCGTTTTATAGCGTTTTGTTTTAGTGTCTCACGGATGATCCACGTTTGGCTGAACAACTGTGTGTCAGAGATGAGATGTGAGGGGCCTTTCTGTAGGGTAAGGGTATGTCTGCACCTCTGATTTTACTGCATGAGGAAGTACTGCCATCTTAAGGTGTATTTAATCCTTTGCCTTCTTAGGTGAGATCCTTTTCCCACAGAAATGTG